ATGATGAATCCAGAAAAAGGGGGAAGTGATAATAAATCACAAACAATAAAAACCTACAGATTTCTTCTGACCCCAGCAGTATAGCTCTTCCAACCCCACCGGCCTGTCAGAGTGCTAATTGAAAGCACTTAGAGAAAATGCCCGAACCCAGTCGTGCCCTAGGGACAAGAGGCACAGAAGGCTTTCTGAAGCCCTTAGCAACTTCCTCAGCAGGAGCTGTGACTGTGCTCCAGTCAAGAGGGAGCTGCTAGGCCGGGGTGGGTGGGAACAACAGGGGAGCTGGGGGTGGCTGCAGCAGGCACGCAGAGTAGCAGGGCCACAAGGTCGGGCTTCAGGCTTCACCCGCGTGGTCAGCCCAGGGCTGATGAGAGGGGAGGGGACCTGGAGAAAGACACTGGGGTCTCGTATTATCTTTAATAATTAACAAAAGAGAAAAGGCATGAGTCAGTAACGTGAGCCCTTTGAAGCTATGAGCAAATTGCCATGCCTCAAGAGCCTGCAGCCACATTACAGGCTCCCCAGCCACAAGCCCAAGAAGGTTAGGAAAACACAGGCACTTCCGTGACCAAACGAACCTTACAACCAAGACAATCTAAGACACATCTGATGGGAGCCACAATGCCAGACAGAAGGCCACACTGGAGGCCCGGATGGAAACGGTGCTTATAAACTGCTCATGAAACTAGCAAGTCAGAGACAAATACAATCTTAGTTTTTCTCTCCTCACTTTGGTAATAACCAACACAATGTTGAGGTTTCTTTTTTCCCCCCAATATCTACTGAAATGACCAAACACATGCTCACATATAAACAGATAAACATGTTGGTCCAGGGATACTTTTTTAACCTGACCCTCCTGTCCTTCCACAGGTCAAAATACCTGGAGCATTTTTTTTTAATGCAACTAAATGCTGTACCAAGTTGCTAGAAGGTGGGAGACAGACGGTGTGGGAAAGGGGATTGTTACTGTGTGACCTTGGACACCTCAGCCGGTGTTTCTGAGTGGCAAGTCATCACAAAAAGATGTTATGTGAAGCAGCCGGCCAGAAGCTGGGGAGGAGCTGGCAGCGAAGTAGAAGGAAATCAAGGCAAGTGTGACGCACAGAAGCCAGGAGAGGAAAGTGCTTTTAGGAGGGAAGGGGCAGCCAACTACGTTAAAAGCTGCCGCAGAGATGACCAAGAGAAGGGAACCGTCAAGACACAAACCGAGGCTTCTAAACTGCTCTTGGCTCATGTCAAGACCATGGGGTATCTTCAAAAAAAAAAGACAGCATCTTTGATCACTAGACTGTTTTAAGAGACTTCTTTCCAAAGGTCTTATTTGCATAATAAAATAAAGTAAAATATGAGAACACATTTTGACAACTCATTTGTAAGTAATATCTTTTTTTGCAGTAATTTCTAGGTTTTCTGTGCCTGTTTAAGGGAGAATCCTAAGGGACAAGAGTAAGCTAAACTTAGACTATATCATTCAGGGCAGTTTCAGAAATATTTCCTCTTCATTGTAAGTGCATCTGATAATAATATTTTCCATAGTGATGTGCAACAAATCTTTCAAATGCAGTCATTTCATGGTTAGCCTAAACATAGGCAAACACAATTTCTGAATACTAAGAAAAAGAAAAACAAATGCCATAATAAGCTTTTGAGCACAAAGGTCTAAAAATAGCGTATTCTTTCTCCCAGCCCCACACACAAAGGGGAAACTCTTAGCCTTCAGAAGCTGGTTTGATCACAGCTTGATGGAGTCTGGAGGTAAGGCTCTCCTCAGTGGGTTCTGACTGCCCAGTAGGCAACCTTCCTGCCTATAAGTTGGGGATACATCCCATCAGCCAATGATCATGAAGATGTGCTCACACCACCAGGGACTATGGTCACGTAGAACTGGAGGCCTCAGAGGTGCTTAGAGACTTGGAGGCTGGACAAAGGGAGCCCTGAGAGGGGAGGGGTTGGCACAATTATACAATTACAGTGTTTGCACGTAAACATGCTGCTATGTCCACCACCTTCACCTTCAAACAACCCTGCTGGACCCTCATGTGCAACCCCTCTTAGCTCAGCTTCTCAAAGTGCCCCCAACTGTCTCTGCTTCCCAACCTGCCATTCATTCTTTTATACCCTTCTATCTCTACAGGCCTCCTTCTCTACAGCTCATGAATAAATGCATGAATGTCATGGTTACCAACACCCTTCCTGTGGGCCAACCCAAAGGCCACTCCTCCCCCACTCTTGTACACAGCCCCCAGTGGTGTCCAACAGCCCACCCCACCTTCCTGACCCCATTCTCCCCCAGCTTCCGTGCCCCTCCCACCCACCAGTGTCAGGGTTTTCTCCACACTGAGTTCCCAGCTCCTCAGCCGGCTCTCCATCTTCCTCCCGGCCTCTCCTCTCGCTTTCCTCTCTCCCTAGTGATTTCAATGTGCTCAGAAATTTAAGTATTTATAGGCTGAATGATCCAATCTGTCCCATGAGCTCCTGATTTGTAGACCTCACAGAATCTCAATATTGGGTATCTATTTGGCATCTCAAACTTAACAAGCCTGCAAAACTGGAAATCTTTGTTTTTCCCTCCAAAATCTGCTCTTCTCAAAATCTTTGCTGTCTCACCAAATAGCATTGCCATCTACCCACCTGCTCAAGTCAAAAGCCTAGAAGTCATTCTGGGCACTCTCACTGCCCTCTTTCCACACTTAACCAAAAACCTGCCAGTTCTACTGCGCAAACATGTCTCCAGTAAGTCTGTCTCTTGTGTCTGTCACTGCCACCACCAGGACCTCTTGCATGAGTACTGCGACAGCCTAGCCCTTCTCTCCTTGCTTTCCATCTGTGGCCCGTGGTCCGTCCCCACCACAGCTAGAGCAGCACTGCAAAAACACCAGACAGGTCCCGATGCCTCCTTGCTGAAGGCCCTGGGGCAGCTTCCTCTGCACTTGGAGTAAGACTGCTGACCTGGTTCCTGCCTGCCTCTCTCCCTCTGTCTGCCGAGCACCAGTACGCCAAGCCCTTTCCCTCCTCAGGGCCATGGTGGTTCTCAGAGAGGCCGGTCCTTGGGCCACTTCCCACCACCTGTAACTAGCCGGAAGCACAGCAGAGCCACGCTAGGCGGGCGCTCTGTGATGGCCCATGCCATCCATGCTGGTCACTTACAGCCGTCTCACTGTCGCATGGAGAGAAGAGTGAATGGGTCGGGACTCGCTTTCCTCTCTCCCTAGTGATTTCAATGTGCTCAGAAATTTAAGTATTTATAGGCTGAATGATCCAATCTGTCCCATGAGCTCCTGATTTGTAGACCTCACAGAATCTCAATATTGGGTATCTATTTGGCATCTCAAACTTAACAAGCCTGCAAAACTGGAAATCTTTGTTTTTCCCTCCAAAATCTGCTCTTCTCAAAATCTTTGCTGTCTCACCAAATAGCATTGCCATCTACCCACCTGCTCAAGTCAAAAGCCTAGAAGTCATTCTGGGCACTCTCACTGCCCTCTTTCCACACTTAACCAAAAACCTGCCAGTTCTACTGCGCAAACATGTCTCCAGTAAGTCTGTCTCTTGTGTCTGTCACTGCCACCACCAGGACCTCTTGCATGAGTACTGCGACAGCCTAGCCCTTCTCTCCTTGCTTTCCATCTGTGGCCCGTGGTCCGTCCCCACCACAGCTAGAGCAGCACTGCAAAAACACCAGACAGGTCCCGATGCCTCCTTGCTGAAGGCCCTGGGGCAGCTTCCTCTGCACTTGGAGTAAGACTGCTGACCTGGTTCCTGCCTGCCTCTCTCCCTCTGTCTGCCGAGCACCAGTACGCCAAGCCCTTTCCCTCCTCAGGGCCATGGTGGTTCTCAGAGAGGCCGGTCCTTGGGCCACTTCCCACCACCTGTAACTAGCCGGAAGCACAGCAGAGCCACGCTAGGCGGGCGCTCTGTGATGGCCCATGCCATCCATGCTGGTCACTTACAGCCGTCTCACTGTCGCATGGAGAGAAGAGTGAATGGGTCGGGTGGCACTGGGAGGGGAAGCCAGGGGGCCATGACAGAGGGCTCTCGGCCAGGGGAGGCGCGGCTGTGCCACCCACAGCGCTGCATAAAGGTACCAGCCAGCCTCCCTTGGGTCAGGCTGGGCTCTGCTAACCTCAGATGTCAGCCCCAGCGGGCAGGCAGTCCTGCAGAGTGGGCTATCTACTTAAAAACAAATAAGCATGAAGCCGTTTCTTTCATGCAGGCAGGCTCCTGTCCACGAGGCACACGGCCTTCAGGACTGCCATCTAAGGGCAACAATTCCTGGATAGCCGCCTCCCCACCTGTGTGACTGCAGACACCACACACTAGTCAAGTGGGGGCGGGATGAGGGTTTCTGTCGCCATTGCTATCACGGCCTTCCTGCGGCCTGGGCTCTAGGTTTCAGATAAACAACTATGTGGCGAACGGAAGACAAGGAGCAAAGCAGAGGGACAAAACCAGACAAATGACAGGAGTAACCCTCCCTGTGCTGCAGGACTCACTCTGAAAACTAGTAGGAGCTGAGCTAGCACCCCCCACCCCCCCAACCCCGAAGCACAGCGCAGCCTCCTGCTGGGACCCTCCCAACAGAAGGCCCACTGACACATCTGTTCCTACTAACACTTAGAAAGCAGTATTTTCCTAAGGGTTTTTTTTCTTTGGGCTTTACATGGTTACTGTCTGCCAGGCTACCAAATCCCACCTTCTTCAAGTCCAAAGCCACCACACAAACTATTAGAACTCCCAGTGAAGAACCTGCTCTGGGAAATGACCTTGTGCTAGTTTTTCCTGAATAGAGACACCAGGGAAACGTCAGAAGGCAAACCAAGACCCACACCCTGAAAGGTTTAAAACATAACAATAATATCCATCCTTGGGGAATGAGCAACTGAGCCCAGTTTAATGTGGAAAGGAACAGCAGATTCCACAAGTGGCCGGGATCGGGATGCTCGTAAAGGGAAAGCGTGGGAGGGAGAAGATGAGAGATAAATAGGTCACTGGGGTTTTACCTCAACACCTGCATCCCCTCGGGGGAGTTCTGCACCTCGTCCTGGAGGCGACGCCAGTGTAGACAAGCCCTCAGCTCCTGATGCTCCTGGGCCTTGTGGGCGGCCAGCTGCTTGGGCCACAGACACACAAACACATATGCACAAAACATGGTCACTACTGTCTCAGTGCAGGGTCAGAAACCCCGGGTGAAGTGCCTTCTTGGTTTCCAGGGACTGGCTCAGACAGCCTCCCTGCTGACCCTGGTGCCCCATCAGAAAAGTCAAAGGGCCAAAGAAGCCCAGCTGCTCAGCTCTGGTGCTGGTGGTGGAGCTGGGCCTGTGTGGGAGGCACCCCCTAGTCCCAGAGCCCACCCCACAAACACACACCTGGCCTCGAGAGAGCCAGCTTCCCTAGGGGCCCATGGCCAGTCTGATTCCAGCCACTCCTTTCCGTCTTTGTCTCTCGCACAGAGTGGAAAGGTCTCCTCCATTTTCCTTCCACTTTCTCCGGCTCTCAGTTCAGTTTACAGTGGAGCCTCCTGGAAGAGCTCACCGCCTGGCCTCCTTCTGGGGTTGGGGAGGCCAGGGCACACCGCCCTGCTGCTCAGAATCGGCAGCTGCTGCTCGGTGTGCTCATGACACCTCATGGCTATGATCTCCGGAAGGGAGGGCCGCAGACACCCATTGGTAGGGAAATGTCAGTACCTGCCAGTCTCTGTGAATTAAAGGCCCCTAATCATTCACTCAGCAAATTCTTGCTTAGTGTCTGCCATTACGGACACAGGTCCTGCCTTGAGGAGCCCAGGAAGACAGCTAAGAACACTAACCATCCGAGTGCAGCAAAGATAGCAGTGAAGGAGGAATTGGATGCCCCTGGGGAGCCAGGGTCCTCAGAGGCTTTCCCAAGGAGGTGGTGAAGCCTGAGCCAGTCCCCAGCCGGGTAAAAGGGGGATTCAAGAAGTGGGAAGGCATGTGCAAGGCTTGTGGGGCCTGGAAAGGGTGGGATGTGTTCAGAGGATGACAAGGGCATGCTCAGGCCCAGAGCAGGCTGCCATCTGGACAGACAAGCTACCAAGCAGCTGGCAGAGGCCAGATGATAAACAGCCTCTGTGCGCCTTGTCAGGGCCTTACTTGCGCCTGCCCCCCTAATTCAGGTTGAACCCTAAGTCCCCTGTGACTGTTTGGAGGTGGGACTTTTAAGGAGGGAATGATGGTTGAATGAGGTCATGAGGGTGGGGCCCTGATTTGACAGGACTGGTGTCCTCATCAGAGGAATAGGCAACAGAGCTTGCTCTCCCTGTGTGTACAGGTGAGAAGCCAGAGTGAGAGAGGCCTCACCAGCATCCACACCTGTCAGCACCTGACATTGGACTTCTGTTTGAGAAAACAAGTGTCCGTGATGAAGCCTCCCAGTGTGTGGAATTCTATGGCTGCCTGAGCTGACTTAGATGCCCATGAAGGAGTTGGCACTTTATCCAAGTTGGTGACAAGTACACAATTCAATCCTGCAACTTACTCAATTCACTTCTCCCTTGGGAACGCCATTCCAGGTTGGATGCCAGGTCCTAGCTCCTCATTCGGTGCCTCCCCACCTCCCCTCTGCTGGGCTTTCTGATGCCCAGGGCTGCCAGGCGGTCTTCCGGAAGCACAGGGACCCATGTGCCCTCACACCTCCTTCACCGGTGGGGCCTTCAGCCCCACCCTTCTCCTGCTTGGAAGGGCTGCTGTGGGCACTCAGCAGGGTCTAACAGCAGCTCAGTGCCACCCTTCAAGGCAGGGTGAAAGTGATGGACATGCTGTGGAAATGTTTCCAAGTTTGGAATGTCTCCAAGTGCTGGAAACTGGAATGGCCACTTAGCCTCAGGGGACTGTGTCTCACATACAGAGTCACTGTGTGAACCTTGAAGGCTGAGGAGGTGGGTTAAGGGAAAAAGAAGGATTGAGAAACTTCAACCCCTACTTTCCCTTTGAGGCCCACAACAGTCAACCTCTCCAGGAAGACTTTCTGGATCTGCTCAGACCAGGCCTCTTCCACCTTTGAACTCACATATTCTTGGTGTTTACCTTTCTTTTCTACCTTATTTTCTTCTTGCTTCTACTGTGTACCTCTCTTACCTTCACAACCAGACTCTGGCCTCTTTCTGAGCAGAGCTCTTTCATCCTGTTACCCCTATAGATCTAGCACAGAGTATACACGTGGAGGGCAATCTGTGAGATGCAGCCAGGCTGGCTTCCTGCCTTTTAGTGGAGATGGGTATATTTAGGGATGTCAGAGCAGAACCCAACAACAAGACGTAGAAGTGACCCCCTGGAAGTGCAAGCTGGGGAAAGGTGAAGGATGAACGCTCTGGGGATGCAGGAGATGAAGGTCAGAGAGAGCCTCATCAGATGCCTGCAACAGACTTAGGATGACTAGAAAAGCCCAAATCTGATTGTCTCAGGATGGAAGCACCCCAGAGAAGGGATGGCAATAGAGGCACATTTACATTAACCTAGTTAACTCTTGTGGAGTGCCTACTACCTGCAAGCTGGTGTCAACTAAAAAGAAGAAGAGAACAGGAAAGGAGAATCTTATTTCTTGGACATACTGCATTTGGCAAGCTCACTCAAATTCACATATCCCATTCATCCTGCACGTGTGAACATTTTTATACTCATTTTACAAATGAGGAAACTGAGGATCAGAGAGGCTGCATGAGCTATCTACATGCACAAAGCTGTGTACCTCAGAGCTGGGATTCTGAGCCCAGGCCACCTTCAAACCCAGCTCCAAACCTGGCTTTTCCTGGACCTGCCATGTGGCCTCACTTCACCCACTCTGTGTGGCAGGGGACAGAGAGATGTGCTTACCACTAGCTCAACAGCTAAGCTGTGCAGGGGGTGGGGGAGGAGCAAGACACAGCTCCTTTGAAAGAGGTCATCGTCTGGTTGTGAAGATAGAAGGAAGAAGAAAAAAGTAAGGAGAAAAGAGGTAAGTTCATGCCAAATTGTACGGAGTTCAAAGATTCTAGAAGAGTAGTACTGGACTGGAGTGGAAGGATCAGTCTGCGCTATCCAGAGAAAGTGACCTGTAGCTGGTGAGTGAAAAATAAATAGGACTTCAACAGGCAGAAGGGACTTGAACAAAATCATATAGGTATTCACAAAATTGGGAATTTCAGAAAATGTGAACCAGTCTGGGTTGTTAGGGTTAGGGATGATGGGGAAAGGAAAAGACCAAATATTAGTAACCAGAAAATAAGCAGAAAGCAATTTAGCTGACAGATCCTCATTAGAATTGGCAGCCAATCTTTAGAGGTTGTAAACTGGGAGTCTGTTGACCAGGTCTGCCCTCTGGGTATGTTTGGTTATATAACATTTTTAAAATTAGTAAATTTCACACAAAAATCCAGATTTACAACTTCCTTTAAACAACTCAAAGTGTGATCTACATTGAGCCCTCCTTTCAACTGGATAGAGCTGGAGAGCAACTGGACCAAGTTTCCACAGTCCTCACCATTCCCTGAGCTACACCAACTGTTGAACTCTTCATTACTCGCCAGTGGACATCTGTGATCATGATTCCTGATTTACACTTTAATCTCATTATTAAGAAACACAAAACGCAATGTCACCACAAGCATAGCTCATAAGGAATGCTTGAATATGCCCCAGCATGACCTTTTCTTCAGGTCATTGTTCATAGTCCCATATCTAAGTGCCCTCTAAAGAAGCACGTCCCACCATGGTCCGTCGGCTGCATGTTTCTTCACAGCACTCACCACCTGCCATGGTACAGATTTGTTTGCATCTCTGTTCTCTCCCAGGCTGGACTGTGACTCCCATGGGACAGAGACTTCCCTCTCATTGATTCGGCTCCCTCCCCAGAAAACAGAACTGTGCCTAGTGCATTATAAGCATGAATTCGTATATTTTGAATGAATGGATTACTATGAAGAGAACTTGACTCCAGGCAGTGAAATGCTTAGAGTCACTTCAAACCCACCTGCTGTGCTTGGGTCCAGAATACATCTTCCAGGTGAGTGGCGAACCCTTCACTCAGCCACTCCTCCGTCCAGTCACGGGCCCCAATGGCTAGGCCAAACCAGGCATGAGCAATTTCGTGGCAGAGACGGGTCCCACAGAGATGGCGCATTCCTGTCAAGACGCTCTGAGAGAGGAAGATGATGTGTGGGCTGTGGATAACAGGGAGAAAGCACATGGAGTCTTGTTAGAGCCTGCCCTCTGAGCTACCCCATGGCGGCTCTTGCAGTCTGGGAGCCTATTATTACCACAAGCATGCTACATCATGACTTGCAGCTCAGATGCTTTTAGAAATAAAGAAAGTTGCAGTTTACCTTCTGGCAGTGGCTCACGTTGCCATTTCTGCCAAGCAGTTGTCTCCATCATCAAACAGCTATTACCTGTAATAAGTAACCTGCACCAGAGTTTTATATGGAAGAAATTATAAGGCAATGGAAACATTTACTCTGAAATGTGGACTGCAGAAGAGCAGGTGTGAGAATGTGAAGCCCACACTGTTAAGACCGTGATCAAAGCAGACCCGTCAGCCAAAACTCCAAGCAGCTTATGAACAAATTGAGAAGTCATGCAGAAGAAGGGAACGAAAAATCTTTCATTTTAGACGGGCTGGTTTGGGAGTTATCAAACTGACAGGAGCTATGGCTGGGTGAGGTTTCCAGGAGAGTCCGATAAAGGCAAAGATTTTCACAGCCATCACTTCCCATCTGCAGAGGCTTCTGTGTGTCCGTGCCATACAACATCAGGAAGGGGAGAGAGTCTGAGAGAGGGAGAGGAATGGGCACTAACCCACCCAGGTGTGCAAACAGCCCCAGGGCTGGCCGCAGCTGGAGAGATTTATCTAATCTTATTTTCCATTCCTGGTTTTAAACCCAAAATACCATGATTAGAATTGCATAGATGAAATGGAGGGGAGGGGGGCTGAAGAAAGAGGCAAACAGAATACCTCCTATGCTTCCATCTTCGGCATGTCATTTATCCAGGACTTGTTTACAACTTATTAATGAAAAATTTGGTCTTAAAAAAAATCCTCTCCTCCATTAATTGAACAAAAGCAGTTGTGAAACCTTTCAAAGTAAGGAACTGCACACACCGACTCTCTCCTTCTAAAGCCATTGGTTTGCCATCATGTCAGCTCTGTGCAGGCCAGTACTGCTTACAGATCTGCCCTCCACCCCCATGGCCACAGCGGAAAAACCCCACCTGGATTTCCCTTGCACAACATCACCCTTCAGCTCAGAGGACTCAACTGAAATCGCCCGAGGCCTGTGTGCCCAAACCAACAGCTTTCATGAAGGAGTAACAGGGCAGGCACACAGACGAAGAGCTCTCACCAGGCTCTCAGCAGAGCCCACCAGAAACCCCAGGAACTGGAAGTGCTCAGGGTATTTAGGGCCCAGCCAGGGGTGCGGCGGGTACCAACAGTAGTTCAGAGCACTAGCTCAGAAAAGAAAAACAGGGAGGGAGGGAGGGAGGGAAGGAAGGAAGGAAGGAAGGAAGGAAGGAAGGAAGGAGGAGGAAGAAGGCATGCGTGCAGACAGGAAGGAGCTGAGAGGCACAGGAGCTAAGCTCCCTCTTACTGAGAAAGCTGCCCCGTGTAGAAGACAAACTGGGAAGCCCGGCATTTTCAAGTAAATGACCCATTGCTCTGGCATGTGCAACGCTACTAAGAAAAGCCACAGAAATGTACCAAGTAAATAACATTCCAGACATACTGCTGGCCGCATTCACCCTTTTGGCTAAAACAAAACAGAAGTAACTTCAGGCCTTGTAAACGGGCTGAAAGGCAAGCCTGTGTTGGGAGGGTCTGCAACTAGAGACACAGACAGCGCACATGCAGTTAGATGAAGTGTGGGGCTGACCCGTCCATTGAACCCAGGAAGGTTACACAAGCTAATGGCTGAAATCATAGCAAGACTGTTCACAAAGGAAAAGCCTGCCCTCTCTGTGGTGACCAGGCCGTCCCAGTGTGGAAACCTATCCAGAGACCGTTTATGCAAACAATCAAAGTCTGCGCGGGTCTGAAGGAATGCACAAAAGCAGCTGTGTGAGGGTGGCATTTTGTTTTCCTGCCCTTTAATTTTTTTCTCCTCCAAAAGCCTTTGTGGTCTCCACCAGACCCGCCCCACCTGCTGCTGGTTAGCAGACACCACTGCAGCCCTGGTGCCTCTTGGGCTCAGGACGGACCCTGGCATTGCTGGAATGCCCCCCCTGAATTCCCACTTCCCGACCACAATCCTTCCTTCCCACCAGTGATAAACATAAAGGTACTTGCTACTGTCCTCTGAGAAACACCGAGGCTTAAACGTCCTCCTGGATGGGAAGAGCATTCCACCTGGTGTAAACGACCCTGTGATCAGTGGGACACGTGACCTTATCTTGACGAGCAAAGCAATTTTCCAGTTAAGATCCAGACCCCAAATTCTCTTGCACCACCAACCTGCTCCCTAAGGTTGGGTTTACCCGTGGGGCCCTCTGGGCACCTATTTCCCAAGGAAGGAAATGGCTTCTTTCTTAAAACTAAATTAAAAACATCGAATGTGATTTTGGTAACCTTTCTTTAGGGTTGTTAACAAAATTCTGACATAAAAGGACAGAGAAATTCTTTCAAGGAGAATTTCCTCCTTTTCTTTCAACTCCTAAAGGTCAGAATTTCTCAATTAGGTAGAATTTTTAGACTGCTTTTTCCAACAGTGAGTGAAGAAAGCAACAATCATGCTCTTAAGCTCACTTCAGGGAGTAATATTCAATATTCCTTTCTAACAGATAACCTACTTCCTGCCCACCTTCCATACAGAATGAACATTTAGAATTTTCTACTCTGACCTAAACTGATGTGTCCGTCCGCCCCGTGCTCCTCACCCACTCCGAGCTCTCAGAATCTTAGTCGTGGCCCTGCTCAGCCAGCGGCCATCAGTCCCCGCTCTGCCAGGGCCCATTTGTAAGTGGGTTTCCTCTCTGTCCCTGAAAGAGTCTGTGTCAGCCACCTCTACAAATGCCAGATTGTTGGTTCATCATTACACAGGACGCGAGGTGATCACTTCAGTGACATCTTCATCCTAAAAACCAGTTCTTTTATTTTTTTAATCACAAAATGTGTCCTTTTCCCCAAACAAGAGATGGGTGGGAAAGTAATACTTTCACCTCTCAAAGAGCCTGTGTTCTTCATCATAATTCTCTTCCTCTCCCAGCGGCTGAGGATGATGGTTGGGCACAGTGGGGGGAGGGGGGAACTGAGGTGGGGGGCACTGCGATGGGGGAAGGAGGGAGGGATGGGGCACCATGAGTTGGGGAAGCAGGGAGCGGGGGCATCGCAATGGGCGGTGAAGTCTCCTGTCCCCCCCAGGGGACCACCAGGGGGGCTGCCTCCCCACAAACACCACGTGGCACTGCGTGTCTGCTGCCTTGACCCTCGGGGTTAAAGACACCGTTTCTGGTCTGAAAACAGTTTGTCAAGACTGTTCCTCAGGGCTCCATCCCCACAGAGTAGACGGCTGTGCCCCTTAATGGAGAACAGCTTCCCACAGAGGCCAGGGCGCCTTCATTATTCTCAGGAGCCGCTCCAGTCCTTCAGGAAGCACGCAGTTTGGAGCGGAAATGGGGACTTTTATCAGACTTTAAGCAGGGGCTGGGGTGTGATTTACTTCTGCTTTGTCCAGGGAGATGTAGCCAGTGCAGCCCAACTCTTGGCTAGGGGGAGGCCCAAAATTTGGGCTCAGCCCCATTGCTGTCTCAGCAGGTCAGAGCAGGCCGGAGTGGGATCAAGAGGGCAGGAAATTGCTCTTGTTAAGGACCAGGAGAGCCCAAGCCACCCTCCCATTACACTGCAGCAGACCCCAGTTCCCCTCAGGGGCAGAGTCCCTTTTTACACAGACCCTTGGGAGGTGCCTCCAGAAAACAGGCTATGTTCACCAAGCTTGAGCTTCTTACGGGTTCAAAGTTTTTCACCATCTCAACAACATGTGGACCCCAATATCCCATTATAGAGAGGAAGGAAGGACTGAAATAGACTCTTTCCCTCCAAAGTCAAACTAGTTCTAAGGGTCTCATAATAACCGTGAAAGCAACTTTTGCTGCATGACTTAATGACCTGCCAATTTAATTTGGACCTCTGAAGTAGGCTCATGTAGCCTCGGGTAATCTGAGAAGGAGGTCAAATCTGCAGTTTCCCCTACCCTTAGGTTCCAAACAGTTTTCTCTTTCGTTCCTCAGGTGTAAAGTGATGTATGCCAGCACTTCCACTGGTGTGTTTACAAATCAAATGCTTAACTCCAGCCCCCTCTTCCCAGTGAAATTCCAAGCCCCTCTCTCCTGGATGCAGTCTAATGGAGGGGATGCATTTGTCCCAAAGGCAAAGGGGTGCCCCTGATGACCTGGAGGGCCACTGCTCCCTCTGACTCTACAACTGCCCAGTATGGACCAGTACCTTCCATTTGCCCCATATGATATCCCACTGTGGTCACATCTTGTAGTCTCAAAAGTGGAGCCTCAGGGGATAGGGGAGTGTTCTTTTGGGGAGGTGGAAACCAGTTCTAAAAGCTTTACTTTCTACTTTGATCAATGTGAGAGAAAAAGCTGACATTAGTTAGTATAAGTGATCCTTCAAGAATTCTAAATAGCAAACAGGCAGTGGACCATCCACTCACTAATCTAAGTGAATTTTCGCTCAAACTGCCAACATGACTACAGCAAAGAGAAGCTGGGGAAACCCAAGGGCCACATTCCAGAGACTTCTACCAAAATCATATCCTCCTTCCAAAGACTCATATTGCTTGAGTGCTTCCTATGTGCTTCACACAGTCCGAGCTCTCAGGCTAGGCACTGAATATTTTTTTTTTTTGAGAGGGCATCTCTCAAATTTATTGATCAAATGGTTGTTAACAACAAAATTCTGTATAGGGGGGTCAATGCTCAATGCACAATCATTAATCCATCTCAAGCCTAATTCTCGTCAGTCTCCAATCTTCTGAAGCATAATGAACAGTTCTTACATGGTGAACGAATTCTTACATAGTGAATAAGTTCTTACATGGTGAACAGTACAAGGGCATTCATCACAGAAACTTCCGGTTTTGATCATGTGTTATGAATTATAAACAATCAGGTCAGATAAGAATATTCGTTTGATTTTTATACTTGATTTATATGTGGATCC